TTAACACATTTAAGTGTGTCCCTACACTGAAACTTGTGTGTGTGTGTGTGTGTGTGTGTGTGTGTGTGTGTGTGTTTAATGTGAAACGGTACAACCGCTGAGCCAGAAGGAAACTAAGTTGTATTCCACGTTCACAACATGTTTTTAACATGAATTCTTTTTTGAAATGGGAAGAGCCTTACCCACCGTCTTGATAATCACTACGACTGCTTGTCTAGCACGGCCTTCACCCTGCTCGGCACTGCTGTGGGTGTGCTGCTGCCTTTCTGGGGCTTAACTGGCATCACATGCAGTCTGCCCAGGTAACCTGTCCAAAAGAGAAGATAATGAACCAAACCAATCAAATAGGAAAGGCGTAAAGAAATTTCCCTACCAACATTCTAGCAGGCATGTCATCCTTAAATGCAAGAGGCAAAAATCTCATCTGTGATGTAGCTGCCATGTTATCTTTCCTTCATGCTCTTACAAAACGAAATCTCTGTGGGACACCGTTATGCTATTTGGTTCAGGCTGAAATCATCTCCCTCAGGAAAATGATGAGGTGGCAACAGAAGAAAGGGGGAATAACAACTGGGGCCAGACTCTACGCAGCAGCGTGTTTTTCTGTTTTGTTTTGTTTTTAATGATTTCTGTTTGAACTCTCGCATCTGCTCTTTCTTCATAGACACGTACAAATTTTTTCAATATAATTTAAATCACACTCTACATACTGTCTCATAAGCTGTAAATACAAAATATGTTTCATTGCTTTGTTTGCTCACTTCATGAAAGTAGTTCCCTGCAGAAAATTTAGGGTATCTGGCAAGCGCCATCTTCTGACCAGAACCAGAACTGTCACTATCATGTCCTCCCAGGAGAAAGATAAGAACTAACTACTACATCCTCCCAGCCAGCATCCTTCTTGGCTTCCAGCATCTTTCTCAAGTGGTTGAATATACCATGCTGAAATTTAGAGTTTTGCTATTTATCACAGAAAAATGGAAATCTAAATGTCTGCACCTCCAACAGTCTGATTGTAAAAACTGTCGAGTGTTTACTGAAAATTAAAAAATAGGAGAAAGTGATAGAGAAAGAAATTATAACTCTAGGAAGACATTATGACTTCCTAGAGATTGATACTGTGGTCAGTTATACAGCACTCCACTGTATGGAGGCACAATACGATACACTACATTTTTTTTCTTTTTAAAGATTTTTTAAAAGAATGACTTATTCAATTTTATTTATTCATGTATTTATTTTAATTTGACCAGAGACAGACGCAGAGAAAGAGAGCGACAGAGAGAGAGTGAGAGACAGAAAAGAGGGAAAGTGGGGAGGCAAGCCACCAGATACGGGACGCAAACCACGGTTGGCCCTGTGGGAGTGTCCAGCACCTTAACCAGCACACCACCTGCTGGTCCCCTCCACATACTACTTTTTAAACTGTGTTATACAAATCAACTAAAGCCGGGACCAGCAGGTAGTGTGGTGGTTAAGGCGCTGGACACTCCCACATGCCAGACCATGGTTCGAGTCCCAGACCTGGTGGCTCGCTTCCTCACCTTGTCTGTCTGTCTCTCTCTCTCTCTCTCTCTGTCTCTCTCTCTCTCGTCAACTTAAAATACATGAATGAATAAATAAACCAAAACATAATTCTGAAAAACTATGGTCTTCACTGAAAAGAAACATCAACCAAAGCCTCTCTCTCAGACTTAAAACATCAATGACACAGAAAAAAATGGTCATTGCTGACCATGACCATACCTGTGCCCTGAAAGAAAGAGCTTCAGGGAGATACCTGCCGGCCTACACTCAACATAGCGACCAGACGACCTGCTTGATCAGGTTCGGGATAAATTCCACTATCGGCAAATGACAGTGGGGGAAAGCATGGGAGCGTGTCTGCGTGTGTGTCTACGTGTGTTTCTGTGTCTGGAACAAACTGGGTCTGCTCTTTCAGCTTCATTTTGTTCTTCTAATTATAAGAATGAGCAGGGAATAAAGCCATTCTAAAAATGCAGAAACTAGCTACAAACAGATTTTTAAAATCCCAGCAATCTCAACGGAGATGCTGACTGCTAACACGGGCATCTAAGAATTCATATATGTTCCTTTACAAGTGCCGTCTCGCAATAGCACCTCCGAACCCGTTTCCATGCCCGTGCACATTTCTACCTGTGTTTGCGTTAGTCACTTTAGACGCTTACATTTTTCTCTCAATAGCTTTTTGGGTAGAATAACACAAGTTTCAATCAAAAGATAATAAAAATCTGTAACAAACATAGAAACATGGAATGCCATGTCAAAAATCAGCACGAATGGAATGCCTCACTGAAGTCTTACTTTAGAAGCTGTAATCTGATCACCCATTCTCACACTGTGGACTTTAAAAATATCAGGAGAAACCAGAATTCCACAGGGTTAATTCTGTCCCAGTAACAGCCACTGGACCCAAAGCATATTCTCTCCCGACCTTTCCCAAGCAACAATCTTTATTCATTATTTTTCACTTTAACACCAAGGCCCGAAGAAATTCCCGGAAAATAACTAGCTTTAAGACAGCCATTACCTTGAAGCTTCTTGTCAGCTGCAGTGTCCTGAAATGCAGCCCCTCCCCCAGGACTGGCCAGGCAAGCTCACTTCCAAGCTGCTCACAGAAGGCTCCGCCCCCTCCGGAGTGATGGGAAAAGCAGGGGGGGCTTTCCCCTCAACTACAGGGAAGAGAATCTCCAAGTTAAGCTGAAATTCACTTCAAGAGAAGACCTGTGAAGGGTAGGAGGGAGGGGCTGAGGAAAAGAAAAGAGAAACACCAAACTCACACAAGAATGGAAAGTTATCTGTGTGAGCGTTTAGCGTGTAGGATGATGTGTGTAGTAACATCTTTGACTTGACTGACGGGCAATACATGTATACTTTGAAAATCCATACTGTATGCGGTAAAGATGTACAATGACTAAACGTCAACAAGAAAGAAAATAAGTGGAACCTTATTTATACATGACATTTAGAAAGGAGAGAAAAGCGGTTCATTTTTGAAGCACTTGAAAGTAGAATTTATGTTGAAACTTCAAGCGTGGTTATTTCCTAAGGGAAAAAAAATCAAAAGGTGGAAAAGGTGGAAATGCTTTTGTCAGATAATAAACATCCATAGAAGAACACCTTATACGTATTTTTCTTGCCTAGTTTGGCACCTGATTTCTACAGATGATCTTAATTCAGCAGGCCAAACTCAATAAAGAAAAGACCCGCTGGGTCCTAAACAGCAAAGTAAAAACTAGAGGTAAAGGACAGGACCAATTCGCAATAGTCTAAAAGCAGAGTTCCTCCCCACTCCCGATCATTTACTTTCCTGGAAGCAAGCTTACACAGAGCAACTACAGGAATGTGTGTCCTTGTCACGTTGCAAGCATCTAGGCTGTTTGGGTAGATCAGCTTACATCTAGGGTCCTGTTATGTGACCGATTTAATCTTCACCATAATCAATGCCCTGCAACTTACCTTCCCCTTGCACTAGACCTGACATTTTGGCTTTCATCTGCAGCTCCATTTGTTTTGTATCAATTTATTCACTAGAGAAAGGGAGGTGCTATTTATTGGGGTTCCTCAAACTCCAAACATTCTAATTAAAAATAAAAAATCCACAGCACATAAAAATATTCACCTTCCCTAATAATCAAAGAGATGCAAACATAAACGGCGCTGAGATGTCATTTTTCCATATAATTTGACCAACAAAGAAACCATGATACAACGAACAGTTTACACAACAACTAGTAAAAGGACACTCCAGGACCAGCAGTTAGGGTAATGGCTATGTCGCTGGACTCCCATGTAGTTGACCGCAGTTCCAGTCCCGAACCCGGCGGCTTAAACTCACACCGGGCGCGCGCGCGCGCATGTGTGTGTGTGTGTGTGTGTGTGTGTGTAAATTTCCCTACCAACATTCTAGCAGGCATGTCATCCTTAAATGCAAGAGGCAAAAATCTCATCTGTGATGTAGCTGCCATGTTATCTTTCCTTCATGCTCTTACAAAACGAAATCTCTGTGGGACACCGTTATGCTATTTGGTTCAGGCTGAAATCATCTCCCTCAGGAAAATGATGAGGTGGCAACAGAAGAAAGGGGGAATAACAACTGGGGCCAGACTCTACGCAGCAGCGTGTTTTTCTGTTTTGTTTTGTTTTTAATGATTTCTGTTTGAACTCTCGCATCTGCTCTTTCTTCATAGACACGTACAAATTTTTTCAATATAATTTAAATCACACTCTACATACTGTCTCATAAGCTGTAAATACAAAATATGTTTCATTGCTTTGTTTGCTCACTTCATGAAAGTAGTTCCCTGCAGAAAATTTAGGGTATCTGGCAAGCGCCATCTTCTGACCAGAACCAGAACTGTCACTATCATGTCCTCCCAGGAGAAAGATAAGAACTAACTACTACATCCTCCCAGCCAGCATCCTTCTTGGCTTCCAGCATCTTTCTCAAGTGGTTGAATATACCATGCTGAAATTTAGAGTTTTGCTATTTATCACAGAAAAATGGAAATCTAAATGTCTGCACCTCCAACAGTCTGATTGTAAAAACTGTCGAGTGTTTACTGAAAATTAAAAAATAGGAGAAAGTGATAGAGAAAGAAATTATAACTCTAGGAAGACATTATGACTTCCTAGAGATTGATACTGTGGTCAGTTATACAGCACTCCACTGTATGGAGGCACAATACGATACACTACATTTTTTTTCTTTTTAAAGATTTTTTAAAAGAATGACTTATTCAATTTTATTTATTCATGTATTTATTTTAATTTGACCAGAGACAGACGCAGAGAAAGAGAGCGACAGAGAGAGAGTGAGAGACAGAAAAGAGGGAAAGTGGGGAGGCAAGCCACCAGATACGGGACGCAAACCACGGTTGGCCCTGTGGGAGTGTCCAGCACCTTAACCAGCACACCACCTGCTGGTCCCCTCCACATACTACTTTTTAAACTGTGTTATACAAATCAACTAAAGCCGGGACCAGCAGGTAGTGTGGTGGTTAAGGCGCTGGACACTCCCACATGCCAGACCATGGTTCGAGTCCCAGACCTGGTGGCTCGCTTCCTCACCTTGTCTGTCTGTCTCTCTCTCTCTCTCTCTCTGTCTCTCTCTCTCTCGTCAACTTAAAATACATGAATGAATAAATAAACCAAAACATAATTCTGAAAAACTATGGTCTTCACTGAAAAGAAACATCAACCAAAGCCTCTCTCTCAGACTTAAAACATCAATGACACAGAAAAAAATGGTCATTGCTGACCATGACCATACCTGTGCCCTGAAAGAAAGAGCTTCAGGGAGATACCTGCCGGCCTACACTCAACATAGCGACCAGACGACCTGCTTGATCAGGTTCGGGATAAATTCCACTATCGGCAAATGACAGTGGGGGAAAGCATGGGAGCGTGTCTGCGTGTGTGTCTACGTGTGTTTCTGTGTCTGGAACAAACTGGGTCTGCTCTTTCAGCTTCATTTTGTTCTTCTAATTATAAGAATGAGCAGGGAATAAAGCCATTCTAAAAATGCAGAAACTAGCTACAAACAGATTTTTAAAATCCCAGCAATCTCAACGGAGATGCTGACTGCTAACACGGGCATCTAAGAATTCATATATGTTCCTTTACAAGTGCCGTCTCGCAATAGCACCTCCGAACCCGTTTCCATGCCCGTGCACATTTCTACCTGTGTTTGCGTTAGTCACTTTAGACGCTTACATTTTTCTCTCAATAGCTTTTTGGGTAGAATAACACAAGTTTCAATCAAAAGATAATAAAAATCTGTAACAAACATAGAAACATGGAATGCCATGTCAAAAATCAGCACGAATGGAATGCCTCACTGAAGTCTTACTTTAGAAGCTGTAATCTGATCACCCATTCTCACACTGTGGACTTTAAAAATATCAGGAGAAACCAGAATTCCACAGGGTTAATTCTGTCCCAGTAACAGCCACTGGACCCAAAGCATATTCTCTCCCGACCTTTCCCAAGCAACAATCTTTATTCATTATTTTTCACTTTAACACCAAGGCCCGAAGAAATTCCCGGAAAATAACTAGCTTTAAGACAGCCATTACCTTGAAGCTTCTTGTCAGCTGCAGTGTCCTGAAATGCAGCCCCTCCCCCAGGTCTGGCCAGGCAAGCTCACTTCCAAGCTGCTCACAGAAGGCTCCGCCCCCTCCGGAGTGATGGGAAAAGCAGGGGGGGCTTTCCCCTCAACTACAGGGAAGAGAATCTCCAAGTTAAGCTGAAATTCACTTCAAGAGAAGACCTGTGAAGGGTAGGAGGGAGGGGCTGAGGAAAAGAAAAGAGAAACACCAAACTCACACAAGAATGGAAAGTTATCTGTGTGAGCGTTTAGCGTGTAGGATGATGTGTGTAGTAACATCTTTGACTTGACTGACGGGCAATACATGTATACTTTGAAAATCCATACTGTATGCGGTAAAGATGTACAATGACTAAACGTCAACAAGAAAGAAAATAAGTGGAACCTTATTTATACATGACATTTAGAAAGGAGAGAAAAGCGGTTCATTTTTGAAGCACTTGAAAGTAGAATTTATGTTGAAACTTCAAGCGTGGTTATTTCCTAAGGGAAAAAAAATCAAAAGGTGGAAAAGGTGGAAATGCTTTTGTCAGATAATAAACATCCATAGAAGAACACCTTATACGTATTTTTCTTGCCTAGTTTGGCACCTGATTTCTACAGATGATCTTAATTCAGCAGGCCAAACTCAATAAAGAAAAGACCCGCTGGGTCCTAAACAGCAAAGTAAAAACTAGAGGTAAAGGACAGGACCAATTCGCAATAGTCTAAAAGCAGAGTTCCTCCCCACTCCCGATCATTTACTTTCCTGGAAGCAAGCTTACACAGAGCAACTACAGGAATGTGTGTCCTTGTCACGTTGCAAGCATCTAGGCTGTTTGGGTAGATCAGCTTACATCTAGGGTCCTGTTATGTGACCGATTTAATCTTCACCATAATCAATGCCCTGCAACTTACCTTCCCCTTGCACTAGACCTGACATTTTGGCTTTCATCTGCAGCTCCATTTGTTTTGTATCAATTTATTCACTAGAGAAAGGGAGGTGCTATTTATTGGGGTTCCTCAAACTCCAAACATTCTAATTAAAAATAAAAAATCCACAGCACATAAAAATATTCACCTTCCCTAATAATCAAAGAGATGCAAACATAAACGGCGCTGAGATGTCATTTTTCCATATAATTTGACCAACAAAGAAACCATGATACAACGAACAGTTTACACAACAACTAGTAAAAGGACACTCCAGGACCAGCAGTTAGGGTAATGGCTATGTCGCTGGACTCCCATGTAGTTGACCGCAGTTCCAGTCCCGAACCCGGCGGCTTAAACTCACACCGGGCGCGCGCGCGCGCATGTGTGTGTGTGTGTGTGTGTGTGTGTGTGCACGTGCCCGAGATCCCAAGAGGAGAATCGAGGAGAAGGGATTGTGATGTGGCAATCCCACCGGGGAGGTGGGGGGTGATTTCTCGCTTTCTGTCTCTGTGTTTCTCCCTGTCTCTCTGATGAGTGCACGCACCCTATAGCAAAATAAAAAGAAAAAAAAAAAAGGGCACTCCCTCATGTCCAAAGAGAAGGTAAGGCAAAATGAAAGCCAAAGTCTTATCTGACTCTAAAACAGGAGGGTGTGCTCCCTCTCCACCAGGACACACCACCTCTTGAATTCTGTCTTGGTAGAACCAAGGATGATGTCATTCACTTTCAGATTGTGAGGAAATTGGTGACTATAAGCCCAGAGTGAGTGCTGCTCAGTCTCCTGTCCATCCTGGTGA